GGCTGCACGGTGAATCTTTGTTCTGTCTGCTTCCTGAAGAGGATAATAAGGAGAAAAAAAGGAATCCTTCCTGAAGAATGTCAGGAAATCTCTGGTTTGAAACGACCCAGCTGGCTTCTTTCCTCAAGTGATGTACATGCACTGGCCATGATGTATTATTATAATGCTTCATGCTTATTTCTGTGTGTGATGAATGAATATCTGTAAACAGCTAGTAAGAAATGTCGGAGTGTTGGCAGACCAGAAAAGGAAGTCACCTTTGCTTTCTGCAGCATGCATAACCTCTACACGTAATTACTTCTTGTGCTGGCCTCTGAGGACAGCAATGAGGTATCATCTTGCTTAGCCAACTAAATGGAATGAGAGACAAAGAACATCACCCTGCACAAAGACCACCATGAAGGGGGGAGAAATGAATCTTCATCTTCAGAAGATACCGCTTGAAAGAGTTGATATTCCTTGGTACAATTCAACAGTGCCAGCATATACCACAGGGGACAGTTTCTGCCTGAAAGCTGTTCACTAAGTCTGCAGGATGTGGGAAACCAGTAATGTGGGGGGGGGTTTTGCCACAAACCACAGCTGTAAAGAAACCTCTATTATGTACGAGATACAAGGGTCCTTATCCCTAAGTGTATTTTCCATGAAATCATAGTCCAGTGCTGGAAAAGGCCCAGCTGCTGGGTTGAAAGCCTTCGGTCTGTCTCTGCCATCTTCCCTGTGCAGCCTGGCCCTAGGTAAGAATGTTCTAAAAGCAGCTGAGTAACTGAGGTCTGCAGTCTTTGAGATTTGTCTTTCCTGGAAACACACTGTGACACCCGAAGTACCGTACCATATTCTTTCTGAATTTTTGGGCATCTTAAATGCATTACTGTCATTTAGAGAAGAGAATGGCAACCAAATCCGCAATTTTCATTTGCTGTATTTCTTGTTGACGTATCTGAATTCATTTCTACCACAATCTATTTCCCAGTGAGTAAAACTGTCTCATCTCTTCTATGTTGACTTGTTGCATGATGAAAGATCTTGCATATAAGTTATCTGAAGCCTCTCTTCAAGAAAGGACAAAAGACACTGAGCTTAGTGGCTTCCATCTGTCACTTCTGGAGCTGCATCAGAAATTAACCAGGGCTTAAATGATTTCCCAGTATACGAAAGAAAATATTGGTAAAGGAGAGCCCTGAAAGTCCAGGTATTCTTTTACTAAACATCAGAGTATCCATGTTAGTTATTAATTTTATACAGCTTTTGACCAATATATTCTAGTAATTCTGAATGTAAAAAAAAAAAAAATTAAGAAGAAAAAATAATAGGTGTTATTTTTAAAGAATTACAAGGCCTGTTTTCCTCCTTGCACTCAGTCCAAATTGCTGCTGTTACTCTAAACCACAATTAATGTAGGTTATAGGCAGCCCATACAGCCATCTATTATTTTGCACTAACACAAATCTGTATAGTTTTGCAAGTTTGTACATATCACACTGTTGGCTCCATATATATTGAAAACTCTGTTTTCTTGATGAATTTCATGGCTTTTCAATCACCTATTAGGAGAAGAGAACCAATGTACTACAGAGTTGATGATTTGCATGCCACTACAAACACCAGTACTGGGTAAGAAACCTTTTCTGCACAACGGAGCTGGCCCTAGAGCTGCATCCTGCTCACCCTGTGGTACTGAACCTGCCTCGCATTGGACCCCAGACCATATTGAAGACCTCTGCCTCCTAAGACATTGCAATGGACCCTCTTCTGTCATGGGATGGCTGTAGTCGTTTCATTTACAGAGTAGGCTGAGCCTGGAGACCTCCCGTATTTCTGCTCTGATAAGGACATAGGAAAGGAGAGCTTCAGAGCAGCAGAGAAAGATCACAAAAGGATCTGTGAACGGAAAGAATGGAAATTTGGTAGCTATGACAGAGAGACACGAGACATCACAGGACAGAGCAGAACAGAGCTAGGATGTTGCCAGAGTGGACAGGTATGTTTGTCTTCTGCATCTTTTATTACTGTGGGACATGGTCCACCTCGTGGACTGTGTGTATTGATGTCTGTCGGTTATGGAAAGGTGGAACACCAAGCAGCATATCCCAGTTCACACAGTGGTAACTGGGACATGCTACTGCTTTTTCTAAGTGCAGTGGGATAGATAGAGACTGTCCAACCCAAAGACCAGGGAACAAGGACTCATTTAGTCTGCAAAGCCTGTTCTTTGCTGAAACATCCGTGTACATTCCTGTACTTACAGAAGCAGTGTTCCTTGCAGAGCTCTACAGTGCACTACAGCCTGAAAAACAAGGTGTTCAAGTTCAGGTCTAGGCCTCTTGCATGCTCTAATAGAATATGCCATAGAGAAGCGGGGGCTACACAGAGAGTTGTTTGATCATCTGTGTAGGATCTGCATTATGGCAGTGCAGAATAGGGTTTTTTCACTCTTTCTAACCATTGATCTTTGTTAGAAAGACAAAGTGTGCTGGGCTTGTTTTAATCAGCTTTTGTTTGTTCCTGTGAACAACAAAAGGGAACTGTTGGGAGCTGTATTCCGTGCTGGCGGTGAAGATCACGCTTCTTTCCCATTGTCTTCCTCAATTTACCAGCTAGTGACAGAGCCCATTGGGATCTGCCCTCTGCCTTCTTACACAAGTGTCCTGAAACATCTTGGTAAGCCTGAGCCCAGGAGTGTATTCAATCTGGTATTAACCCATGTAGATAGCATAGTTTGCTGCTGAATTAGAGCTAGAAGGCCCCAAGAAAAGCTATTTTAATTGTAAGAAAATGAATTCATATCCTGTCTCACAAATCTAACTCTCAGATGTTGCTAAGGCAATGGAAGGCTGGACAGAGCAGCAGTAAATGAAATGTGTCTGTCTGACTTCAGGGATTACTGTACCCATGAGATTACTGGTGTCCTTACTGGTCAGACACCCAAAGACTCTCCTGCCCTGATTTTCCATTGCTATTTTGCCTCCTTTCCAAGGAGGCCACCCCTCCCTGCCTTTGAGAAGCAGCAGTGAGCAAGGGCTAGTAAGACAGACCCACCTCAAGGAGCTTTCCAGGGTTAATCCGTGGGTGGTTCTAACGCGCTCCAAGTGCCACGTAGGACTGTGAGCCGTGCAAGTGTTCTAGCTCAGCTCTTTGCAGCTCCCCCTCTTTATTTTTTTGGGTTTGTTTCTTTTTTTTTTTTCCTCCTTTACTAGCAAGGAAGCCCTTCAATTGGATGGGCAGCAGAGCCAGCCCAGGGCTCAGGAGGAACAATGACGGAACAGCAGACTGCAGCTTGTAAACCAAAACCTCCCTGGGGGCTGCTGCTAAAAAGAGATTAGAGAGAATTCCTATGTCAGTTGGCATCTGGATTCCCCCCCACCCCCTGTTGCAGCCACTAAGTTTCTGGCCTGTCTATCAGCACGGTAATGCATGTATTTGCTTCCTCCGTGGGCAGGCAGGGGGGAAGCACGGGCACAGAGAGTTTTACAGGGCACAACACATCAGCGCTGCAGGCCTGATCAGAGCTGCACCTTTCATCATCGCACCGATGACAGGTCAAGGAGCCCCAAAGGGATGAAAGGGATAAAGCTAAGCGTCGGGGAGTGCCTCTGTCAGAGCACGTGTGCTCCAGCCAAAACGTCACACAGGTTGGCAGGCTCCCTCCCCTGACCCACCTCCCTCCCCCTTGCAAACCTCTAGCCAGCTGGTGACGGTGCAGGAAGGGTTGTTTACAGTTTGAGCTTTAGGAGTATTAGGTTTGAGATTACATGTTCCGGCAGCCTCATGTGAGGTATATGGAAGCTGCTACTGTTGTGAAGGAGCTTGATGAAGAGCTGAATTCAGAGCCCTGGCCACTGGCAATGAACCAGCCAGGTGTCGTTTTAGTCAGTTGCTGGACACCAGGAATTGGGAGGAAACAGGGAGGAACCTCTGTGGTCTCTGAACATCACTTTTAAGTAGTTGTGGTTTGGAGAGTCAGGGAGGCAGCCTCTGAGTCTCATGTGGCATGCAAGCACTGGAGATTTTTACCTTTGGGAGTATCTGTGGCTGAAAAAGCCCATACTTTTAAAAAGAATACACTGATTTCTTGCCTGGGCAACATCTGTGAGGTTTTCACGGGCATCTGCAATGCTCCTGGTACGTCGGGAAGAGGGGGGTGCTATTTACCTGTGTGTACAAGCCTGTTCTGGCAGACCATGCATATTCAGACGGACACAGGACGTTTGTCAGCTGTGGGAACTGCACTGCCCTGGTTATTTAAACAGTATCATTGGAAGTGTTTTACGTCTGAGGGGAGTTTTGTATGAATCCATCAAAAGCAGATGTCAGAGCTGATGTACGTGTCTGAAGGACTAGGGCAGGACAGGGCACATACACACCAGGCATGGTTTGAGGGTACCCACGAATTTCATTCTAGGGCTCTCTGGCTGACCTGAATTCTGTCTGTTCCTTTGAAGAGACATTTTGGAAAGGGGAAAGACTTTGGACTGATTGCATATACCACAGCAGTAGCAGTTTAAAAACAGCAGACCATCTAACCCTCCAACAAACAACTTGCTTGTGAAAAAAAGAGCATCTCCCCCCCAAATATTTATTTTTTACAATGTTTTTGAGATTACTATTCTTTAAGTCTTGGCAGGTGAGGCCTGGGCCACGTTCAGGTCATTGTGCAGAACAGGCACAGAACACCCCAAAGCACCTCACAAACCACAACAGACAAGAGGCCTTCAGGGTGCATCAGCTCACAAATAAATGGGTCCAGTATTCAGGTACCCACAGATATTGCTCCTGCCCTGACCCAGAAACCAGCTCTCAGAAACTCCAGGAAGGGAAAAGAGCTGAATGGAGACATCAGTCCCTCTGTAAATGGACTCAGCACCCTCTTTCCTTGTATTTGCCCACCCTCAGCAGGCTGGCTGGGAGCCTTGCAGTTTGCATTTAGAAACCAGTACCCAGGATCCTGCCAACTGAACTTACAGGTTTGGCAGACACAGAGTTGCAGGACTCCTGGGTCACAGCTCTGAGGAACAGAAGTCTAAGTATATCTCTGAGCATTTTTTCTCTCAGCAGCTTCCTTTCTTGGTGCATTTTCTTTCTCTAAAGAAACTTCCAGGGTCTCCTCCTACAGGGCAAACCTTAAATTCTTCAGGCCAGTGGGGAGGGCTGAGGTCCTAAGATAGCTAAAGCTAGAATAGAAGACATCTCCCCATTTCCACTCCCCCTTTCACCTGCTCTCATTCCCTCGTTTTCCCAGCTCAGCCACCCTGCACTCAAACACACAGCAGTTCCTCCACCCCATCCTTCTCTTCCGCACCAACTGTCCAGCCATTTTGGAGAGTGTGGCCTTCGCGTCACCAAAGTAACTTCCAGAAGGAATACGACACTGCCAACAAGACCAAGAAATGTTCCAGAAGAGATCCCCAAGGGCTGCCAGACCCCAAGCCACAGGTCTTGGCACTCGGCCCTCAGCATGCATAGTCTCTGACCCCCAGTTCCATTTGTGTTAGCCTGGGAGCAGGAGAGTGGGTGCTGACAGTTTCTGTCTTGGCTTTGGGCGGGCCAGGGTGCCTTTCAGCTGCACTTGCAGGATTTCACCACCATGTTGGAGAGCTGCTCCACTTTGGGGGTCCTCCCGACATAGTACAAGATAGTGAGCGGCTCCAGGTCCTGGGGGACGCAGCAGGGCGAAGCAGATGCCTCAGGGTTCAGCGTGTTGTATAAGCCCAGCACCTGCGGAAACAAAGTGAAGGTGGTGACCAAGTCATGAGTACACTGAGGTTGGTTGAGGGCAGGAAGGGACTGCAAAGCCAAGGGGTCTCTAGGTCTGTGCTCAGCAGAGGGCACTTCCCCCCAAGGCAAGTAATAGTCCCCATCACTTCCTAATCATGGCCTGCTTCCCAAGGGTCTCACCTACCCCAGCCTGACTCTTAAAACCTTTTTTTTTTGTTTTTCAAACTGTAGCAGCCTGGCTCTGTGGCTGATGCGCAAGGGTTGAAGGAGTGCCAAGCAGTTGTCTCCTTTCATCTCTTAATCCGGTATGGTGGATAGTGTCACAATTTCTCCTTTCAACAGGACTGGGTGTAACCAGCCTGGGGCCATGTTGTCTTGGGTTCCATTAGAGAAACCAGAAGAAAGAACATCAGTGCTGCTTATTTCAACCAACATCTCTAGATAGCGCTGGATGGGTGCCAATCCTCTCGAGTATCCACAGCTCCCAGCTTTGAACCATCCGATGCTCTCTCCCTCCACTCCATCCTCCAAGTCATTACACTGTAATGCTGGAGCCAGGAGAGTGTCCTGTGGGACCCCACTGGATTCCTCTTCCCAGCTGGCCTCAGCCCACAGATGACTGTATGCTTCAGCCATGTAACCGCTACAGAACAGTTGCCACGTTTCTTGCCAGAGGTGGCCGCTCCGCAGCGGTAAGCAACTTCTTGACGTGTGGGGCCAAAACATGATCTCACCTGCACCACTGTGGTCTCATCAGTGCTTCTCTGGTATAAACGACGGGGTCTGGCACATTGTGTTTTAACTCCTTTACTGTCTTCAGGGATGAGAGGTGCTAAGGAAACATCCTGTTCTAGCATTCAGATCCATGTAACTGCAGTCCTTCTGGTAGAAGCTCTCTGAGATACTGAGCAAACCACCCATGGCTGTACCACAGGGGTACATGCTCCTGCTGGACGCAGGCAGCAGCTTAAACAGACTGCTGAGAAATCTTTGTCTCACCATGTTTTTCCTAGGTGGTGCTGGCAAGCTGTCAGCAGCTATATTGTTCTAAAGGTTTCTTGGATCACTCAGCTGACCTTAACGCTTGATCGTTTCCTTTCTTGCTTAAGAAAAGAACATTAGGAACCATTCTAAAATCTCCTTTCTCTCTCACTGATTCGGTCCAGTTATCTACTGGAGAGCTTCTCAGGACAACCAGATGGTAAAGCTCCATGCCCATTACCCTTTCAAAGCTGTTCATTCCCTTGCCTTGTCTTGTGCTTAATGCCCAGCATCTGTTCACTCCTTCATTCCCACAGATCCACTGTTCCCACTGATATTAATTAGTCCGTGAGCTTCGGCGAGCCTTGCTGCTGTGCAGACTCTCACGTGGTCAAGAAAATGTTAGCATCTTTTCTGCAATACCATCTTCACCTAGTTATCTATTCAGCCAAATCTGCTTTTTCCAGTAACCTTTTTAGTGAAACTTGAAGCTAGTTGTGAGTGAGCTGTTGCATTGTCTGGATTGCTGCCTTTTCTGTGGACAGCAGCACAGGATCTTCCTCTGGCTTTTCTTGCTTCAGCAATGGACTGCCTCTTCCTTTATCTTCTCCCCTTGGTACTTCTCCCGCGCCTGTGCTTTTCTATTGCTTTTATTTTCTTCCACTCTAGACAGTAGCCAGGGTCAGGTGGTTTTCTTCCCAAAGACTGCCCAGGTACTCATGTTAAACAGAGGTTATGTGTAAGTTACCTAATGACAGTTGCTTTCACCAGTTTTTACTCATGAATCTCACTGCCTAGTAGGTTCCTCCCTGCTGTATATCAGGTGTGAGTTATACAGCCAGAAAGGATACCTGTGCACAAGAGAGTTTACTGCATGGTCATGTTCACTTCTGGACATGGCGAAGGATATCCCTTCACTTTAGGGCTACAGCTGCCACAGCACAACAGTTTTGCATGACAACCTGGCACAGAGTGTAGAAAAATCCTGTGTCCAATGCACAGTGCAGGAGAAACCTAGGCAGAAGGTAATTACCAGAGCTGACGTTTGATGTGAACAATTCAGTTAACACTCTGGCCATTACCAAATACCCTAAAACCATCAGCCCTGCTGTTTTACATCTTATTCAAGAGAGAACATCCTCCTCCTCCTCAACATTTGGCTGGAAGCATGGACTCAGTATTGACTCCAAAGGAAGCACATTTTCCCTGCTGCACCACCTAAGAGTCTTTTCTATAGTTTCCTTGGCTGTTTATTACAAGTATTCATCTGAATTGCTTTTGCTGCTTTGAAGAGACCAGCTATGATCAGACTTAGGGAGGAAGGGGGAGTCACAGCCAGGAGCCCTGACAGGATAATATGCTGGATGTACCGTGCTGTGAGTGGTGTCTGCGCTGCGGAGGTATGGACAAGGGCCCGAGCAGAAGTTAGCAAAGTAGCCCTTAGGCTCGTGGACCCATTTCCAGCCGAGGTCCTGTCGGAAGTCGATGTACAGAGGACGCACGCAGCAGTTCTCCTCCAGGTTCCTGAAACACAGTATTGAAACACAGTGAAGTTAAAGAGGGGCCTTGTATGCGAGTGCATGATGCAGCTTCCCGAGCAGAAGGACCAGCAGTGCCCAGCGGGACGTGGGGTTTGCCTGTGCAGAGCGCAGAGGAGCAGCAGAGGCGAGCAGCTCAGCCTTGGTCACCAGCCCAGTGAGACAGCACCCCACTCACCGAGAGCGGTGCCTGGCTGCTCTCCAGCACCTGGGGCTAGCAGGGGGCTGCCGTAGGTCCCTGCCCAGGCTGTGCTCCAGGAGGCCACCTGCAAGTCTCCCTCTAGCCGGCAGCTCAGCCAGAAGCACACCATGACTGCTGAGCTGGCCAGCGTCCCCTTCTTGGGCACCACGAGGTGCCGAGCTGTGCTCCTGTGGCACCGTGGTGACCCATGACCCCCTTGGAGGCTCTGCCTTTCCATGGAGTCTCGGCAGGCTTGCGACTGGTTGCTTCAGGCAGGAATCTCACGTACCGGAAACAGTAGTTGGTATCCAGGGCCCGTTTCTTTCTCTGGCCTCCCAACGACGGGCTCTCCAGCCGATGCGGGGGTAACATCATCAGGATGAGGTGAGGATTATGCAAGTCTTTCTGCTTCTTCAGGCGCCCCAAGTCCCCACGGCCATAGTCATCCTCACTGTCAATGCCTTCAGAGAAAAACAGGATCCACAGAGAAGTTGTCAGTGTGGAAGCGGAGGATGCAAGACAACTTTTCAGTACATGAACACCCTCATACCTGCCCCTGAACCAGGGTGAAAGGGATTCGGGCACCACGTCCACTTCCTCTGGGACATCTTCCCTCACAGGAAACCCTTACTCCTGGTGAACGTGACTGCTGCAGGCCTGAAACAGAGGCTTGCGGGCCACCTGTTTTACCATTTGCAAACTGCTGGTGGGGCCATTAATCCATCCCACTCACTCCTGGCTTTGGTCCCAGGACAGGCAGGAAGATGAATGGTTTAAAGAAGATGTCAGATCATTGGCACTCTGCAGAACAGCCTCAGAAATGGAGCCTGTGGGGGCCAGTGGCTGCAGCCCAGGGCTGCAAGCCAGGAGGTTCCTAGTTCTTAGGCCAGCCAAGCCACTGACTCTCTGGGCCACCTCACACATGATGCCTGACTTCCTTGTGCTTCAGTCACCCTAACTGGAAAGCAGAGCCTCCCTGGAAATGTGAGAAAGCATCAAGCTGAACTTCCCAGAGAGACAGTGAAATACAAAATTATTCCTTCCTGCAGACACTCGTGCAAACCCACCCAGCCCGCACTTCCTTTCTCCCATTTCTAACCTACGTACAAAGTGGATACACCCATACGATCAACATGCAAACCCAGACATGTATGCTTTAAAACGAATGCTATGCGATGTAAAATGCTCAAATACGCAAAGCAAGATCTCGTTTTTTCTTTAGATGCTCCAGGTTTTCCCTTCCCCAACAGCCTCCCCTCACCCAGCTCATTATCACCTTTGAACTTGATCTCCAAGACCTCGTGCAAATTCTCCAAGATGTCCCCGTTGGGCTGAAAAGTATGGCAAGGACAGTGTATGCTAATTTCCAGGCCAAGGTTGGACTCTGCAAAGAAGGAGATGACTCTGTAAGAAACAGTCTTCCTTTTAGGACAGCTCCTGGCCCAGGGAAGTTTCGCTGAGGACATGTACTGTGGTAACTCCTAGACTGTGGGTTGGTCTCAAAGTCCAGGATGCTACCAGAGCTGGGGAACACAAGCTGCCTTGGAAAGGAAAATGGGAAGCACAATCTCGTGGCTTCACTTGTGCCAAAAGCCTTGCTCTTGCTAAAGGGAGTGTCCTGGGCAGGTGAGAAGGGTGCTCCTGATGATGGTTTTTAGGCTATTCAGCATCCAAAAGCATTTGTGAGCTTCAAGGAGCTCCACTGGAAAACAAGTAGTTGAAGAGCTGGCTTGTGGTATCTGTGTTCAATCAGTTTGGCCATCCTCCTCTACCTGTCTACTATCTGGTTTCTGGTTAGTGTCTGAAGGAGAGATCTGAGAATAAGTGAGTTGGATATGGAGAAGTCATTTCACTGGAAACATTTTTCTCAGCAGCTGCAACCTCCTGTTTTGTTGAACTGCGAACGGTTGAAGTCACACAGACTTTCCAGAGGCAAGTCTATTTTCATAATAACTTCCTGAACCAGTCACGCTGTGTGGGCCTGACTAAGGGAACATAAGACTCTTGTGAAAACTCCTTTTTTTATGTTGTGTCATGAATTAAAACATCTGGCTCCCCGGGGCATTGACAAGGTGCCTAGCACCCTTACTGTATACTCTGTGATGTTCTTGTCAGCCAGTGTGCCTGCCCAGAGCTCACTGCAGTTCCAGCCCTGAACTCCAGCCATCGGGACACAAAACTGCTTGAAAAAGGAGGAGCCTACAAGCTCGCAGCTTTCCCTTCCAGGGAACGGCTGCTTGCCAGTACCTGCATTCCAGTTTTCAGTGGCACCTAGCTCCTATCTGAGGCCAATCCAGCTGTGAGTCACGGTGCCTATGCTCCAGCTGTGAATGGGGTCAGTGTTCCTGCTGGGAGCTGCCCTGTAACTATCTGCTGGGCTGCCCAGTGGTGGCAGAGGTATGTTCTCTGCAGTGCTAAAGCCTCCATCTGTCTAGGTGTGTCAGCCTCTGGTATTTCCTCACCTTTATACCTGCCAAGCTGTAAACAGCTAAAGAAACCAGGATCCTTGCTGGTTTTTCCCTACTGGATTTTCTCTAGTCCACATAAAAATTAAACCAGAGCAATCCTCATTTTCTGTGTATTACAGATTATAGTTTAGACAAACAGAGGGGTCTCCTCTGGGCTTGAAGAACCAAAAGAAGTTCCAGGATCCCTCAGGGACAACGATTTCCTCCTCCAGAGGAGGAATCCTCACTCTGCCTCAGCCCACAGAGCTCCACACTGGGGATGCCTGCACAGAGCTAGGAATCTAGCAAACATAGAATCATAGAATGGTTTGGGTTGAAAGGGACCTTGAAGATCATCTAGTTCCAACCCCCCTGCCATGGGCAGGGACACCTTCCACTAGACCAGGTTGCTCAAAGTCACATCACGCACTGGGGTAGCTTTCTGGGGGAAGGCTCGTGCTCAGACTGAAAGCAGCTGTCCCCTATGTGAGCCAAGCCCCTGCAAAAAGGGGAGCAGAGAGATACTCTCATCAACACTGATCCACGTTTCTGCCTTGACACCCAGTCACACCTACCTCGGTGCAGAAGCCACTCTCGCACGGTCTCGGTGACATCGAAGGACAGCCACTCCGGGGAGCCCCGTGTCTGCACATTCCTGCCACTGAGGTAGCGCTGCTTTGCGATGTGCTCATCCGGCCGAAGGATCTGCGTCAGGAGTGGGAGAGAGAGTCAGCCAGTGCCGTGCGTAAGGAAGGGACAGCCTTGGGTCTCAACTCCAGAGATCTACACAACGCTTATGCCCGCCTCTCTTAGCTCGTCCTTGTTTCGACGAATATATCCAGAGGGAGAAGCACACAGCAATGGGTAGGTTTGTTTCTGCATTCACCTGTGGGATGTGGGTCTGGATTTCAGGGTAGAACCAGCAGTGGGCAAAAGCATCTTGCCACAGGTCCCTTGCACAGCAAGCCTGTTGAGTCCTACACTCTGGCATTTTCCAGTGTCCTGCACTCTTCAACTTCTATCAAAACGCTCCAGGGCTGAACAGGTTTGGAGACCTCTCCCCCTGCTCTGACACCTCTTTCCGCTTCCAGACCCTTCCTGCAGGACCCCAGCTTCACTCCACAGAGCACTGAACCTACGGTGAAACTCTGGGATCGTCTCCTTGTCAGCTGTGTCACCCTATGGAGAATTGCTTTGAAGCTGAATTCCAGGAAGTTCTCAAGAGCTACCACCCACAGGGCTATTTTAGCTGCACGCTCACTGCAAAGTGGACAGACACCAGCCTGTGGGAATGTGCCGCCCAGATGCTAAACTGTACCACCAGCTAGGTGGCCCAGCCTAGCCTAAGACCACTTCCAAACCTGAACCAGACCTTATTCTGCCAGGGCAGTCCATGGGTTCCAACCAAACAGCAGGTAAGTCCCTGAATTAATAGTGCCATGAATTATGCCCCTGTGGAGCTGCTGCTGAAGGGAGCATTGAAAGCAAGCATTACTTTTCCAGTAAATCCGTGATGAGACAGAGGCCCACCTACTGGATTAGCACTAACAGTACTGCAACAGTCAAAGGAACTAAACTGTCCTGGCACCTAAGCATGCAGCTGTGACAGAAGGGTCAGGGCTGCTCCCCTGGCGATGGGCTCCCCTCCAAACCCCCTTCTCGGTGCAGTGAAGAGCTGCAGTGGGCACCATGCCAGGGTGTTCAGAGCAGCCAGCCAAGGTGAGCAGGGAAAGGACAGCACCACACTGTGAAAGGAAAGAAAGGTGACTCTATCACTGCCTATGCTGCAAGAAGCCTGGGCTATAGCACGGGATTTCTTCTCTCTCTCTTCTGTGGCCCCGCACGTATCAATTGAGGCAACCATTAAGGAGCTGTGCTATTTTGGGCTCCGGCACGAGGGAAGGTGGGAAGGATACTGACCTGGAAGAGCTCAATGCGCTGCTCACTGCGTTTGGAGCTTGGGTTGGGCACACGCAGCACCCGAAATTCGGCCCTGAACAAGTTGGTGCTGTTCTTCTCTGCCGAAGACACATTGAAGCGGAACACGTTGGAGGTGACACCTTTTGGACAAATGCCCAACTCATCTAGGAGAAAGAAAGATGGAAAGACTGAGAACCACAGGTCAGAGGAAAGGGATCCCAAATAAACAGTGCTCGAGAAAAAAGTTTTCCAGCAAAGCCTGTCATTCAAAGATTTGCCACCAGTGAAGCACGGCTGTCCAGCTAAAGGTAACACAGGATAAATTCACTCAAATTTGGTCTGCACGGCAACATTTTGCAATATCTTCCCGCTACCATCACCATTGTTTCAATGCTACAAGCCAGAGAATCAGTGGAAATCAACCACGGTACTTCTAATGCTCTTCTAACTCTGCTCACCAAATGTTGGGAATGCTCATGAGTCTGCTGCTTCCAAAGTGACAACCCTCCCCCACACCATGGGGGTGACCTCATTTGCAGCTAGCGAGGCAAACAGCCTCAGTGGGGTGACACTGCTCACACTGGAGACATGAAGCCAGTTGGAGGTGATCCCATTGCCATTGCATCTGTCTCACAAACCTTGTCTCCTAGAGTGAAAGCCAGCCAAGTCTCCACAGAGCATGAGGTGTGGAAGACTTTTTGGATCAATGACTATTCAGTGTGTACTGAAAGAAATGGTATTTAAGATCAGTTCTCACTCATGACCTGGAGAAGGAACTCATGGATAGCACTAGATACAGAGTTCTTCAAGGACACAGTAAGTGCTGAGAGGCCTGCAGAGATCAGATACATGGGCATGAAGTAACACAGCAATTCTCTGCCTCGATGTGTGCCTGCTGAGCAGAAAAATCCATTTCACGGATGCTCCAAAAGAGAGTAGGTAAAAGCTATGAGGTCCAAAACAGTCCTCAAGAGAAAACAATCCCATGTTGGTCCCGTGGAATAGTCTTTGTCATCACTGTTGTTCCTCTCCTGTTGACTTTTGTGAGCCTTCAAGGCTCTAGTACCATTAAGGCTTCCTGCAGACAAGACACAGCAGCCCCTGCTCCATGCCCACATGCAGGTAGCCCTACGTGACCTCTGACTGTTGTCCAATGCAAGACAGGGCTCTCCTGTCAGCTGGTATTTGTTTTTAAACAAACAAACAAAAGAAACAGGAAGAAAAACTATCACCTGTTCCCAGGCAGTTTCAGTCCCTGTCGATTAGGCTGGAAGCAGCCTTCAAGTCAGATGCCAGGAGTTGGCCCCTTTCTTTACACCACCACCGACTCCCCAGGGAAACAGCTTCTGGAGATGGGCTGGTGTGAAACAGCACTAGAGTGCAGAGGTTCACCTCCCGTGACAAACTGTTTTGAGCAACAGTGATGCATTTTCTGAGTCGCCACCATGAAGATGAAGGTCCTCCTCCAGATTCAGCAGGCAGGATCTGCCAGTTTACGAGGATGTGTTCTTAGGGTGCTGAAGTTTTACTCAGTAAGCCAATGACCAGATGCTCACACTGGGCTGTAACTGGAATGGGGTTTTTTGTCATTTGTTCTACTGAATGGAACAGCTTTCCCACACAAGAAGGTCTCTGGCTGCTACTGAAGAGATGGATGTTCTGTGACACCACGAGCCCAGACCCCACTGCGGCCGTGAGCCGGTATGCTCAGCCCAACAGCCCTGCAGTGCAAAGAGGCCACACGGGGACACCCACTGTGGGGACTCTGCCACCGTGACCAGCTCCAGGCTTTATGCCACAGAAAGCACAGCAGAAAACCCAAGCTCTGATCCCATTAAATGCCCAAAGGCATCTTCCTGGCAGAAGCCTAGCACTGCTAACTGTTCTGTATCCCAGGCCAAGGCAGGTGCTGTGCTTTAACACCCCCTTTAAGCTGTTTTGCGCTCCCAGCCCTATTAATAGTGCTGTTTACAGCCTGCCCTTCCACTGCAGGCCTGCCTGCCTGTCCGTGAGGGGTGTCCCAGTATGCATCAGAAATGCCTTTCTAGAGCAGACCAGTGGTAAGTCTAGCCCAGTAGCTGTTTCCAACAGTACTGCTTTATCTGCCAATCGATTTAGAGACTGCAGAGCTGGTCCTACAGCACAGTGTGGATGACAGGCAAAATAGTTTGTTGTGTATCATCTCCTTAAGATTTTTGGTTAAGTTAGGCAGCCAGGCTGGTAAGAGATTACCTACTGAGTTTCACCTGCTGTCCCCACACTGCCTTCTACCTACTTCACCAGCAAGCTGCTGGTGTCTTGGGGGATGCTCCTACTGGAAACAGTAATGGCTGTCTTCCCTTCCCTAAGAGGAAGTTTCATGTTCCCTTCATACCCTGGGAACAAGCCCTCTGTGATGGGGAGGTGGAAGCCGCATTCTGTGTTTCACCCTGAACATGGTGAGGTTGGAGCCTGCTTCCCGCAGCAGGGTGTCCAGGATACAGGGCTCACTCCCAGGAAGCTGACTCCTCTGGGGCAAAGCAGGTCACAGGGAAAGGAGGCAAGGTGATTCTTCAGGAAACTTGGTCCAGTCCCAGCTCAGGTGTGTTAATCACACTGGAATCCGGATGTGTTCACCTACCAGCAAGGAAAAAAGCTTAGAGGCAATATTCCACAACACTCAGTAACTGAGCCTGGAGACGGGGAAATCTCTGACACCCTCTCCACCCATGCCAGTCTGACACAACAGGATATATCCTCACAACTGGACCCTGCCATTGCTGTGGAGCCCAGACAGCCCAGAGCTGCTGACTGCACAAACGGTGGGACCAGTAGCCTTTTAGTGTGGACAGTGTGATACAGGGAGCAGGTTCTTTTGGGAGCTTCCCTCTTCCTATCACTGCTCTCAGGGAGGTGCAGGTTCTCCACGTGCTGCCAATCCTGCAGAGCTGCTGCTGCCGGCAAGCCCCAGGAACGCTGATGGCTGTGCAGTTAGTCTGCTGTCAAGGAAGGGCAGGCTGGCTGTGAGCGGGTACTGCCTCCCTCCGTATTACACCACCGGTACTTCACGGTGTTTCATGCCAAAGCTGCGTAACTTTGAAGAAAAAACCTGATCCTTCTGGAACTCTGCAGGCGGCAAGTTTACAGGGAAGAGATGCTTGGTCCCAGCAATCCATGGCTTTAATTGCCTTGTCTCTCAAGCTGGCCTGGAAACGGCATCTGTTTTTCCTCGGGAAGGTAAGCAAAGCCATTTGCAAGACTGCTGCAGATGCTCCCTGAGCTTGAATCTAACCAAGTCAGTGCTAAAGGGGGTCTGAACCCCCATGGGTTTTAGGAGATCTGTGAAGTGAATGGCTGGTCAAGAGCAAGCTGCTCTCTGAGAGCCCCTTGTGATTCAAGCCATGTGCCTGAGAGACCTTTCCGTGAGTCACCAAACAGCTCAGAGTAGGGATGGGGAATCTGGTCCTGAATATCATTCCTTCCTAGAAGGATGGAACTCTCCCCGCTGCTATTTTTCCTCCTCAGCTCTCCACTTCTGTGCCTTAAGTCCTTGAGAACGATGAGTTCCCCGAGTCAACGACCTGCTCAACTAACAGCCTGGAGCTGGAACGGTTGGTGTGCGTGCGCACGCGCTGCAGACTTGTATCATCCTCACGGTTCCCTCAATGGAGCAGTGCTCCCCTTCCCCCCCCAGGAGGAGACTGGCTTTGGCTCAGAGCGTGCTCTGAGATCACCACCTGGCACAGTGACAGAGTCATGGGAAAGTTGAACATGAGCTGCTTCTGAAGACACGGGGCCAAATCCAGCCATGGTGTAAGCGATGAAACTCCCCAGGTTTCAAAAGGAGCATGTCTCTTGACACCGCGGCCTGTCTGAAGCCAGTCTCTCCCAGTGTGACCCAATTCCAAAGTTCCCTCTTTCTCTGGCTGATGGCATCTACGCTGTCCACTCCCAGGAACTGAATCCGAGCACCACTTGGTCTTTTGAACCCACTGCTCAGCACCTTGCCCCAGTGTCCTGCGGGGACGTGGCACAGGTTCATTCATTTACATCGGAATTTTCCCAACCCACAGTCCCTCCTCGTGCACTGTATGTTTTCATTCCTCCTTCCCCTCTACATTATCCAAATCCACTCCTCTGACTTCATTTTCCCGCTGTCATGCTTTCCCAGTTTCCTTCCCCAGAACACACCAGTTCACAGCATGGATGTATTGTTTTGCACAGACACTTGGTTTCCACGTGTATTTTTAGAATTTCACAAATGTCACTTCAGTAGGTCAGAACTGTTGAAATACATGTGAGGTGCCATGCCCCGTGCACTTCTGTTCCTCCAGTCTTGCTGTCTCCTGAGCTAAAAGCTAATCATATAACCATATGGAGCGCCGTCTGCGAGAGATTCAGTGAAATTTGTTGCATTACCACATTGTAGCTCTTATTCCAGCTCATCATATGTCAAGATTAACATAAACCTGGCAAAGTAACCACATTCTGAGGCTGCCTGCACCAAGTCACAGCTCCTCCCCAGAACCGATGGCGTTCAAATCGTGTCCCCAAGCCTGCGCTACGTCACAGGAGGACACCCTGGATGTGACTGCGTGCCCACCAACACCTTCCAGTCCTAAACGCAGACCGAAAGGGATTGCTTGTGCCTACATGTGCTTGGCATCTGCGCTCCGCCTGGGGTTCACGTCTGCTCTGTCTTTGCCTCTGCATCTGCTCAGCTTCTGCACCTGAATCTGTTTAGTGTCCGCATCTGGGCCTGTGCATCATCTGCTCTGCACCTGCTCCACATCTGTCACGTTTCCTCGAGGCCTGGGTTCCCCTGGGGGTCCCCTTCGCATCACTGGCCGCTTCGCCACTGAGCACCCCCGTTACCTTTTGCTCGCTCTCCGATCCCTCGCCCTATCCCAGTAACCGCCAAGTGCAGTCAGGCAAGTGCCTCCCCGCCTTCCCTCCAGCCAGGGCGGGCGGGCTCCC